TCAGGGGTTCTGAAGGGTAGGGAGGGAGGCTCAGCAGGAGTTGCTGCTTCCCAGAAACTTGATTATTTTTAACCCAGGAAGAAGAAAGGAAGGGGAGAAAGAAAGAGAGAGAAGGGGGGGGTGGAGAGAGAGAAAGAGAGAGGAAGGAAAGCAAGCAAGCTGAGGGACTGGAAAACAGTTGTTGGCAGTGGAGAGGCTTTGCAGAAAGAGAGGAGGCAAGTTTGGAAGGCGAGAGCTGACCATGGTAGGTGCAGTTCTGCTGCAGATGTGCCAGAGCTGCCTGCCCCTGTGCTTCTAGGCAGCGGCACCTCCCTTCTGAACCCCTGGTGATGGGGAGAGACTGGAGCACACCAGGTGGCTCCTGTAGCTCAGGTTGCTGCTGCCCAAATTCAAAGACCCTTCCTGCAGTGGGAGAATCACTGTGCTCAGACACCGGACTGATATACCAAATTCCCCGGTGGAGCAAAAAGTTCGCCAGTAGGTTCCTCCTCCCCATCGCACCCAGCAGGACATACCTTCCCTCCAAGCCTTCCTTAGAGAGAAGGTGGAGAGCAGGACATGTCTCCCCCCTCCCCTCCCCTCAAGACATACACCAAAGATGATGGCTTTAAGTCCCACTTGTACCCTCCAGCTGGGAAAGCCTTTCTCAGAGAGCTGCCACCATCTGAAATGAAACAGGAATGCGGTTGGGGTCCATCAAACATAAAATGTGCTGATGACTGGGCAGGAACAAAGCATCTTCCCTCTCTCTTCTAATTGTGGGGCACTCCTGTTATGTGACATGTGATGTGCCAGTCACATGCCACTAGCTCCCTCTCAAACAGACCCTGGAAGTCAGGGCATATCCTCAGGGAAGAGGCGTTCATGCTGCCATTTCCCAGGTGCAGTAGAATAGGTTTCACATGGTGGAAGTAGGAGGTTGTTGTTCTTTATACAGTTTAGCATCTTAGTAGTGAAGAGCAGGAAGAAGAGTGTTGGAGGCACTACCAGGTGTATCTTTGGAGGGATCTTTCCTTCCACCCATCCATGGCAGAAAGGCAGCTATGTTAGGTCCAGCTCCATTAAATGCATTTGCCAGTCCTGATGATTCACATCGCAGTCCTGGGCTCCACTGGGTCTGATGGAGAACTGATTGAAGCCAGTGGAAAGATGCCATGGACTTCAATAGGCTTTGCACCAGGCTCATAAAGCTGCAAGTCACAATTTGTATTTGTTGTTTGCATCATCATAGTACCTAGACTGGAGCCATTGTCTAGGACCACAAATACCTGTGACGTTGTCCAAACTGTAACATCAGAGTCAAGTGTTACAAACCGCGGGCCCCTAAAAATATTTCTCTCTTCTTTGGAAAGATCCGTATTCTCAATGCTTCCCTCAGCTGCTGTTCTGGCCTGACCTACTTATGGGGGCTTGAGCTGCCAACAGTGGGGAAATCTGCTGGGAGCTGGCTCCCTCTCTCTGGTCCTGCTGAGCTGTCCTATGAGTAGCTAAGTCCATGCGAGCCTCCAAAGCTGTCATTTATGTTTGTGCTAAAGGTTGAATCAGTGGTCTTCCATGGTTTTCATGATCACTGTGTCCTTGGATGTGCAAGAAGAGATGTCAAAATAATTTATACACAAATTCTGGGGTAATTCTGGGGAAAGTTAGGTCTCAGTTTCAGTTGCAACAGATCTAGAGCACCCAAGACAGAGAGATTTGACCAAAGCACTCCCAAGATTGAGTGAAAATGTGCAAAGAGATAAAGCCAGCAGGGGGGAATGCCATGTTTCAGGTGCTCCAGGACTGATGGTCATAGAAATTCATGCATTATACATAGTCCCAGTCATCATAAGTGGGTTGGTATATCTCAGCTCAGCCAAGTGTCCTGCTAAAGTAGTGATTGGGGCCCAAATGTAGGTGGAGAGCAGCTCAGAACGGGAGCAATGCAAGGATAACCTGTGGGAGGCTATGTTGGGGCCATTTGGGTCAGCATCCAGTACTATCTCCAACGGGGAAAGAAGTTACATTGACTAGAGTAAAAAGGTGCAAGGAGTATAAATCACTGTGCCTTAAGACACAAACTCTGGGATTATGGAGCCGATTGCGGAATTATCTGTCCTCTATGGACAGATAATCCCATAACAGTCCATCATGGGGTTTTGTGCATCTCCTCTCCACTGGTCTCTGTAAAGAAATCAGTTGGAAGTAAGTGGGCCCTCCGAGGTCATTCACCAGGGCATTTCCGTTGCTCTGAAGAAATAGTTTGTCCTGATGTCAAGTGGGAAAATGTTCTTCTCTGAATTGTCGCTCTACTTAAGCCGCCCTTATAGGAACCAGGACCAAGCTTGCTCAGGAAGTGGCTTGTTTTCCCATGAAAAATGTAGATTAAAAAAAAAATCTGCTAAAGTTTCTTCATTTTGGAATTTATTTATTTTATTTTTGCCAAAACCTGGAAAAAATAGTTGGAAGTGAGAGCTCCACTCTGGAGAAAAAACTGCTTTTTGTCAAACAAAGGAGTTCTGCTAGGTCTAACCAGGTTCCATATGGGATTTTCAATGGCAGTTTCAGCCCCCTCGTCACATGTACCGTGCACACATGGGTTACGCCAGATTGTGCCATGTGAGTTGCATGTCTCTTTAAAATGTCACAAAGATGATGAGCGAGGAGGGAGAAGGAGCAAGAGGAAGCATGCAGGAGCCTTCAAAACCTGAAGGGACCAGTCGCTGTGGGGCTGTACTGCCCGTTCACATGAACTTCCCTCTGCATCCTGGGCTGGAGTCCAGGCAGCTGTGGTCCTGTAGAGCAAAACCACCCATTGAGCCTGAGGTCTGTCAGCCCTCACCCCAGTGTGTTTGTCTCCTGCTTTACCGCGAGACCGACCGGACGGCAGCCAGGCCGCCAGCATGTAGAAGTCTCCGAAAGGTGGATTCAGGGGTCGGCATGGGGAACTAGAGCCTCATGGAGCTGCGGGACCTCCAAGGAAGATAGAAAATCCTCATAACCTGGAGGACAAGATACCCACTGAACCCAGCCCTTGGGGTAATGTTGTCATTGTGCCTCCCTTGTCCTGCAGAAGAAGCCCTCCCTGATGAAACCTTATCTGTGCTTTTGTAACTAATAGAATCAGCCATTTGCTCCCAACCAACCCCAAGTCTTTGTAGATGTCAGGCCTACCCTGAAGCCATTCGGCCCTGGGCTCGGATGATTCAGCCTACTAGCTGATAAGGCCATCTGAGCGTTCAATGGAGGAAGCCGGCTGCCTTTGCAACCAGGATTTTCAAGATGGGAAAACATGCTCTGAAGCTGGGAGATCTCTTTAATCTGCTGCTACTTTCACAAGGCGTTTAGTGTTTCATATGTCTTCATAGGAGTCCCAAAACACCCCGTTATCAGTGAGTGGTCTTGACTGAGCCTATCAGAAATAGGAAGATTTAGCTGTTTGAGATGCTCTATAATGAACTGTCTTGTGCCCTAAAGCCTGGGTCAGGCTTCCCCTTCATTAATCAGGGTGAGGCCTGTATACATAAGGTTCCTTCTTACAGGTTAGGCATTTACAGGGTCACTTACCTGCCAGCTCTTGCCATCCAGATATCATGACGCATTTTAAAGCCGACTTGCAGTTCCTGACTTCCTCTATTTCACTAATTAGGCAATTCATCTGGACGGACAGATCCAGCAACATTGCCACTAGAGATTGTACCTGAGCATATCTAGGACACCTCTGAATTGTAGTGCAGCTCTTCTTTTCCTTGTAGTCAGCTTTGGAGCTGCACTTAGGAATTGATGGTACCTTGTGGCCAGGGGGAACCCAACACTATTACTTCCCATTCACTTCCTCAGCACTCCCTGATTCCTGGCCCTGCTGGTCATCATGGAGCTTGGGGACCTGAATTCTTGACGTACAACCCTGCTTCGAGATGAAAGACAGTCGTCCATCTCCTAGGACTGTTCCTTTCTCAGAACCATTGCACAGTCGCCTCAACTTGCAGGATGCCTGCCTGATCTTCCACCACACATTTCTGTGCCACATTCAGGGAGGCAGGTCCTTTTTCAGCCCTTAGATGATCCTTGAGAGTTATTGAAGCTACCAGTAGCAGTTTTATGGAGCAAGTGATGACACTCATGTTTCTGGCCAGTTGGGTCACTTGTGTTTGAGGACGGAGTCGGAGCCCGGCAGGATCCCCCATGCTGGTAGCGGTGCAGATACTTATAGTTTCATAGTTTCTAGGGTCGGAAGGGACCTGAGAAGATCATCTAGTCCGACCCCCTGCCATGGCAGGAAAGAGTACTGGGGTCAAACGACCCCAGCAAGGTGTTCATCTAACCTC